ATTCCCTTTATGTAAGTGACAAGCACATGATCAACGTAATCCAACATGCTGTTTTCATTGCTCAAGTGATTGGGAGGGTGGGTCACGTGCCATTCTGATGGAAATTTGTAGTGGGCGTGGCATTTGTCAGTCAGGCCTTGGTAAATTATTTGTGGGGGTAAGATGTCTCCGCTGGCTGTACTGCCAAGCAATAATGTTATCTCTCATTTGTCCTCTAAGCCTACAATGCCGACTTGTTTAGATCCCTGAGAAGCTACGGTCCAGTTGGAAACCTGTACAATTTTCACTCCAGTCTGATCAAAGTTTATAACCAATTCCGGTGGAATTTTGTTCTTAGCCACTGATTCCCCCACATCAGAAATGAACTCTTCCTTTTGTTCATCAAAGTTGATTGGCAGTTTTCTGGCAGCTTTCGTCCCCTTTCGTTTCACGAAACCAGTACGTTGCAAAAATGATTCTGCCCAAGATTTTGTGATTGAGATAGGGCCACCGTTTTCAGCCAGAAGTGATCGGTTTTCGTAAGTTACGATGCCTTTTGCTGTAGCCACAACAATGTTATTGGTGATGATTCCCCCGTTATCACGAATGGAATGTACATGTTCTCTCACAAGTTCATCAAGTTCTCCTAAGAACGAAGGCCGGCCTCGTCGTTTGTGAACAAATTCCTCAATGTTTTCAGTTTTTTCTGCTGACATTTTGGCCATCTCCATCTCCACGCTTTCGAACTGTCACAAACTTCAACATTTTCCTTTGTGTACAGTTGCGCTGATAGCTCGAAATTTAACCATGTACTATAACAACATTATGACACTGAGTTTACCAATCTCGCTGAGTTCATCTCGTTGACACTTCTAGCGTTAAGAGGCTTAATTAGAGATAGTTTTAATCTAGTCTCTTTGATCTGCTTTAGTCCCCTTGGTCGGCTTAGTTGAGCTGAGCGTAACTGAACAGTGTTATATTTCCTCTAACACCAAACACACACCAGCTCCATCTATTGTTGAGGGCATATGGAAAACATGCGTCTTGTTCCAGTTGACCATGTGACTCCCAACTGTCGACCATGTGACTCCCTACTGTCGACCATGTGACTCTTACTGTCGACCATGTGACCCCAACTGTCGACCATGTGACCCCAACTGTCGACCATGTGATCCACAACTGTCAACCATGTGACTCCCTACTGTCGACCATGTGACCCCCAACTGTCCACCAGTGTCTCCCAACTGTTTTCATTCTCTTTCTTGTCACCTAAGGGTGTAGACATCCTGTATTAGAGAGAACAGGGTGCTACCTGAGCTGTCTCTCCTTACATGTGCTGGGTGTCTTGGGGGGATGTTTTTGAAGTACTTTCCCCTTCCTGAAAACTGAAAGGTTCTTGGATTCTAGAGCGAAGCAAGGGTGCCTGGCTTTTTAGCTTGAGTCATTTGTTCTTTGATGAATGATACAGTATGAAATCACATCCTTGAAAATCTGTGAACCAACTAGACTGCTTGTGAAGTATTCCACTCCTGGATGTAGTCTTCCTACAGACCAGAGGAATCTGTGGCCACCGTCAGCCATATGTGGGATGTATATTTATAATACTTATCTCACACATTGGATTCCCGCCAGACCAGCCCCACTTGTAGATTACTGGGGTGGCTCCGGGCTCCAAGTCAAGAGAAGGAAGCCAAATTATTGAGTGACATGGATGACTGGAGCAAGATGCACCCATTGTATGAACATGTGGTTATGACGACTGCCTACAACAATAGAGTTAGCTGGGTGGTGTTCTGTTAGAAGAGGCTGAAAACTGTTTCAAGTTGTTTCCACTCCAAGGTCATTAGATCAAAAGAAAGTGCATAACAGGAGATAGGATAAGTAGTATGAATATACAATGTATAGTTAAAATTTGTTGGGTTGAAATAGTAATGAACACTACACACTTCCTACATTGTGCATGTATTTTGTTACAACTCAGTCCTCATGTAAGTGATAGAAATTCAGCAAATTTTAATGGTAACAGCAAGTTATTCACACATTAAGATGTGACTTGAAGAGGTGGTTTGGTCACTGTTGTGTAGGGATATATTTGTTTTGGGGTTCAGCAGGTAGAAATTGTGATCATAGTTTAGGGATGGAATCTACAAACAATTGAGGTTGATTTGTTTTTTTGAGTAATGGAGAGAATAACCAACATGAAGGTCAAAATTACAGTTTATCTTTTCACGGGAATTAACATCAGAGATGAGGAACTGCATGACATTAAAATATTAACCATAATTCCTCTGCCTTGTTAGTTCCTCTGACCTTGTTAGTTACACTTACCTTGTTAGTTACACTTACCTTGTTAGTTCCTCTTACCTTGTTAGTTCCTCTTACCTTGTTAGTTCCTCTTACCTTGTTAGTTACACTTACCTTGTTAGTTCCTCTTACCTTGTTAGTTACTCTTACCTTGTTAGTTACACTTACCTTGTTAGTTCCTCTTACCTTGTTAGTTACACTTACCTTGTTAGTTACTTACCTTGTTAGTTACACTTACCTTGTCAGTTACACTTGTGTCAGTTACTCTTATTATTAGTTCCTCTAGTTAGTTCCTCTTACCTTGTTAGTTACACTTAATACCTTGTTAGTTCCTCTTGTTACCTTGTTAGTTACACCTTACCTTGTTAGTTCCACTTACCTTGTTAGTTACCTTGTTAGTTACACCTTGTTAGTTCCTCCTTGTTAGTTACCTTGTTACTTAGTTACACTTACCTTGTTAGTTACACTTACCTTGTTAGTTACTCTTACCTTGTTACTTACCTTGTTAGTTACCTCTTACCTTGTTAGTTACACTTACCTTGTTAGTTACACTTACCTTGTTAGTTACCTTGTTAGTTCCACTTACCTTGTTAGTTCCACTTACCTTGTTAGTTACACTTACCTTGTCAGTTACTCTTACCTTGTTAGTTCCTCTTACCTTGTTAGTTCCTCTTACCTTGTTAGTTACACTTACCTTGTTAGTTCCTCTTACCTTGTTAGTTACACTTACCTTGTTAGTTACACTTACCTTGTTAGTTACACTTGTTGTTAGTTACACTTACTTGTTAGTTTGCCACTTACTTGTTAGTTACTCTTACCTTGTTTTACCTTGTTAGTTACACTTACCTTGTTAGTTCCTCTCTTACCTTGTTAGTTCCACTTACCTTACCTTGTTAGTTACCTTACCTTGTTAGTTCCTCTTACCTTGTTAGTTCCTCTTACCTTGTTAGTTCCTCTTACCTTGTTAGTTACTTTTACTTAAGTTCCTTACCTTGTTCCCTCCCTTTACACTTACCCTTAGTTACACTTACCTTTAGTTACACTTACCTTGTTAGTTACACTTACCTTGTTAGTTCCTCTTACCTTGTTAGTTCCTCTTACCTTGTTAGTTCCTCTTACCTTGTTAGTTACACTTACCTTGTTAGTTCACTTCTTACCTTGTTAGTTCCTCTTACCTTGTTAGTTTCTCATCTTGTTAGTTACACTCTTACCTTGTTAGTTAGTGTTAGTTCCTCTTACCTTGTTAGTTCCTCTTACCCTTGTTAGTTACTTACCTTGTAGTTACTTCCTCTTACCTTGTTAGTTACACTTACCTTGTTAGTTACACTTACCTTGTTAGTTCCTCTTACCTTGTTAGTTACTCTTACCTTGTTAGTTACACTTACCTTGTTAGTTCTCTTACCTTGTTAGTTACACTTACCTTGTTAGTTCCTCTTACCTTGTTAGTTCCTCTTACCTTGTTAGTTACACACTTTACCTTTCCACTTACCTTGTTAGTTACACTTACCTTGTTAGTTCCTTTACCCTTAGTTCCTCCTACTTACCTTGTTAGTTACACTTACCTTGTTAGTTCCTCTTACCTTGTTAGTTACACTTACCTTGTCAGTTCCTCTTACCTTGTTCCTCTCACTTACCTTGTTAGTTCCTCTTACCTTGTTAGTTACACTTACCTTGTTAGTTCCTCTTACCTTGTTAGTTCCTCTTACACTTACCTTGTCAGTTCCTCTTACCTTGTTAGTTTGTCCTCTGTTAGTTACACTTACCTTGTTAGTTCCCTCTTACCCCTCTTACCTTGTTAGTTCCTCTTACCTTGTTAGTTACTTACCTTGTTAGTTCCTCCTTACCTTGTTAGTTACACTTACCTTGTTAGTTCTCTTACCTTAGTTAGTTCCTCTTACCTTGTTAGTTCCTCTTACCTTGTTAGTTCCTCTTACCTTGTTAGTTCCACTCTTACCTTGTTAGTTACACTTTACCTTGTTAGTTCCTCTTACCTTGTTAGTTACACTTTGTTAGTTCCTCTTACCTTGTTAGTTCCTCTTGTTACCTTGTTAGTTCCACTTACCTTGTTAGTTCCTCTTACCTTGTTAGTTCCTTAGTTTATCTTGTTTAGTTACCTACCTTGTTAGTTCCTCTTACCTATTGTTAGTCCCTTGTTAGTTAGTTCTTACCTTGTTAGTTCCTCTTACCTTACCTTGTTAGTTCCTCTTACCTTGTTAGTTACACTCTTGTTACCCTTGTTAGTTCCTCTTACTTGTTGTTAGTTCCTCTTACCTTGTTAGTTACACTTACCTTGTTAGTTCCTCTTACCTTGTTAGTTACCTCTTACCTTGTTAGTTCCTCTTACCTTGTTAGTTCCTCTTACCTTGTTAGTTCCTCTTACCTTGTTAGTTACACTTACCTTGTTAGTTCCTCTTACCTTGTTAGTTACACTTACCTTGTTAGTTCCTCTTACCTTGTTAGTTACACTTACCTTGTTAGTTCCTCTTACCTTGTTAGTTACACTAACCTTGTAAGTTCCTCTTACCTTGTAAGTTCCTCTTACCTTGTTAGTTCCTCTTACCTTGTTAGTTCCTCTTACCTCACAAACTATGAGAGTTGTAGATGAAGAACTTCCATATTACTTGCTGGCACTGCCAACTGACATAGGCTCCCTTTAACTGTCAGAAGCCATTGTTTCTAATCCACTGTTAGCCCTGTTGTTTTTCTGTTTTGTACAGGTCCTGGACTATGGAAACTCTGTTCGAAGTAAAGGTGCCACAGGGGTGAACCCCGACTCATCCCGCTCTCATGCGATTCTGCAGCTGGAGATCCGAGACAACACCGACCACAGGGTTGGCAGGTCAGACTTATAGACACCATGTAGAATGTGTCACAAGAGTTACACTCATGTTGCAAGATTGTACAACGTGTTGCCACAGTTACACTAATATTTCATGTTGCAAGCTTGTACACTGGTTGTCATTGGTACACTAGATTCTTTTTCAGAAGATATCCTCCTTGGGGTTCTTAGCATTTTTATGTCCATTAAAATTCCAACGACAGTTGTAACTATATTTTGAATAAATATTTACAAATCAGGAAAGTTCCACTCCACTTATTTTCGTCTTACCAAGAAGGACGGAGGGTTTACACCCATTCTCAGTCTCAGAGGGCGAAACAAGTTGATAGAGGTACTGTCTTTCAAGATGGAGACACTGCGCTCAGTGATCTCGTCTGTCAAGGCAGGGGATGGAGTAACGTCAATCAACCTCAAGGGCGCATACCTCCATGTTCCAATGCACCTTCATTTCAAGCAGTACCTTCGGTTCTCCTTTGATGAGAAGAACTACCAGTTTCATGTTCTCCCCTTCAGCATTTCTATGGCGCCAAGGGTGTTCACTAAATTGATGCTGATTCCAGCTCAAGTTGCCAGATCGCAGGGCAGGTGTTGTCACCTGTACCTAGACGACTGGCTCCTCAGGACTCTAGCCGAACAGTTGAGTCGGGAAGCCACACAGACAGTGTTGGACATTCTTACGAAACTGGTCTGGATTATCAATCTCAAGAAGCCAGACCTTGTCCCTATGCAGGATCTGGTCTTTCTTGGAGAAAGATTCAATACCAAGCAGGGCCTTTTCTCCCTGTCTCAGAACAGTATCGCCAAAGTCCAGAGGGTAACTGATGAGTTTCAATAAGGACATGGATCCAGTTGCTAGGAAACATGCCAGCTACTGTGGATGTAGTGTAGCGTGCGCATTTGAGGATGAGGCCCATACAGCATGTGTTGGCATTCAGAGAGCTACAAGAAGTTTCTTGAGAGGCTAGATTCCTCACCTTCAGCGGTGGACCGATGTTTGGATTCTCTCCAAGGGTCTCCCCCTGAAGACCCTAACGCCGTTCGTCTCGATTCAAACAGATGCATCCCCCACGGGCTGGGGAGGTGTTCTGGGTGAGCCTTGGGACTTTGGTCCGTGAACAAGGCCAGCCTGCACATCAATGTGCTGGAACTGAGAGCTGTCAGGTTGGTGTTTGAACGCTTCGTGGAGCAGGTTCGGAGTCAGGTGGTCTGTCTCGAAATGGACAACCAGACAGTGATGACCTATATCCTGAAGCAAGGTCGTCTCTTTTACTCCACTTGTTGAGTTGGAAGGTGGTGTTATTTGTGGTGGTAAAGTCTGGCAGACGGGTCGGCGATATTCATACGATGTCCGCCGAGCCCTAACTGAGTCTTTCACAAGGACAGAGTCAGTATTAGACGACGATTTTGAGTAATTTATTCTCTGTAAATGCTCATTAGCTTGGGACTTTCTTCGACCCCTGACCCTTAGTTGTGCCCTCACCTGTCGGTGTTGGAGGTCATGTGACTGGATAAGCACTATCTTAATCTAATTTTAGATTGGGGAATTCCACTTGACTTGGGGTTCGACAGAATGCCACTCCCACCTCTAATATATAGGAGTCTGTCTGCTGCTTGTAAGTACCCCAAGGAGGACCTCTTTTGAAAAAGAATCGCACCAACCTGTTGAGGTTGCTGATTCTTTGGAGAAAGTTGTCCTCAGGGTACAGCAACCCACCTCCCCACATTCTGTCAGATCACGATCAGCATGGAAAGTGATTAGCGAGGTAACAGTGACCTTCTCTTGGCTGCGGGCCTGGCGGGGCCCTGCAGGGGGTGGTCGAACAAGACAAAAACAAGTTTTTTGTTTTGTATATATGTCTTATTCAAAATATAGTTACAACTGTCGTAGGAATTTTTAATGGACATAAAAATGCTAATAAGTACCCCAAGGAGGACTCTCTTCAAAGAATTTGCAACCTCTACATGTTGCAAGCATGTAGAAGATGTTGCCATAGTTACACAAGAATTTCATGTTTTGCAAGCTGAGGGTGTCAGTATCATATGTCAATGTATTTAAATCAAGTTAACCAGTGTTTCATAGACAGAAGGATATGTTTTAAAACATGTTTATTTTTTAAACTTATCTTATCTCACGGCTTGCACCTCTATCTCTTGCTTCGACACTGAGTGGAACGACTGTAAACATTTTCCTTTGGCCTCTCTAGTTCCATCGCCCATGTATTCCGTGCTACTCTCGCTAATGGACAACTTACCGCAATCCATACAAGGCATGCAGCATGCTCCCCAGCAACCCACGTGGCCACTGCTCTCTCATCATTCACTTTCTCGTTGCGTCCCTGGGCGGACGTAATTGTAAACTCTCAGTTCCCTTCGATGAATTCTCCATTATGGGGAAACCTGAAAATAAACGCAAGCACAAGTTTTGCGCACAGTGTAAAAAGCCTTTCACCAATCTTGACCTCACAGTTTCTTGTCTTCCTGTCTATCTGAGGAGGATTTAAAAGCATACTATTGGGTATGTTCCTGCTGTCTAGTAGACTGTGCTAGATATACCTCTTCAGAATTGAGTCCTTCTTCGGTTAAGAAACCTCGCCTACTTTCGTTCCGAACCAGTCGAAATCCCCTCACTCGGAGGGGGAGGATTTTATGGCCGCCTCGTCCAATTCGTACCTCTCAGAGGATTTGAGGAATTGTTGGGTACTCACTCCTCCCCCCTATGACTGGGGCCTCTAGGGCTGTAGTAACACCTGTCCATCCCTATGACCGCTGCAGCCCCTCAGGATTTTCGGATGACCAGGGAGCACCCTGACAGTCTAGATCTCCGAATCGATCCTCTCATAGCCTCTCACGATCTCGTTCATCTGGTCAAACTTCTGGCCGTTTTCATCACGATAGTTCGTCAGATCAGGCTGAACTGCTTCGTACGAACCTCACCGAACTAAACAACGCCATCAAACTGGTTCGTCTGATCGTCCTGTTTCCGGCCATGGTTCGCCGAACTCATCCGAGTATCATCGCCGAACTGATTCTTCAGTACGGAAGGGCTCATCTCGTTTGTCCGAACCAGTTCACAACATCTCCATACTAGTTCGGCGGACCGAACTGAACCTCATCAATCGAACTTGTTCATCAGGTCGAACCAGTTAACCACACTGTCATCGAGCGAGTTCGTCAAGCCGAACCGATTCGCCGCACCATCGCAGATCGATCCGCTTTGCCGAGGTCTTCCCAACCATATCACTGAACTGATTCGTCACCACGTTACCGAACTGGTTCAACAGACCGATCTGCTTCATCTCAACCCTCCGAACCACACTGCTGAACTGGTTTGCCAGACCGAACCGGTTCGTCACAGCTTTACTGAACTACTTCGTCATCTCGAACCCGTTCCCTTCGGCATTATTGTTCCAGTTCGCCCTACCGAACTGCAGCTCATCAAACCAATTCATCTATTTATCATCTCCGTTCTAGTTTGTTTGGGGCGGAGGGGTAGCCTAGTGGTTAAAGCGTTGGCTCGTCATGCCGAAGACCCGGGTTCAAATCTGGTGTCCCCCGCCGTGATGTTGCTGGAATATTGCTTAAAGCGGCTTAAAACCAAATTCAGTAAGTCAGTCTAGTTTGTTTGGCCGATCTTATTCACCGCACCCTACCGCTTCTACGGATCGAACTAGTTCATCCATCCTTACCGCACCACGTCAGATGCTTCTGCGGTTCGAACCACTACGGGAATACTACAACGAACTGGTTCATGAAGTCGAACTGTTTCGTATCAACTCTCTACTTCGCCTAACCATTCGGATCCATATAGAACCTTGTCACCTAGCTGTTCTGGGTATTGTTGTATTGACTGGTTCTTTTTCCCAGCCATCAATTCGTCTGCACTAGCCGACTTCGTCTCCTACGAGACGTCATCACAACAAATCGATTCATTACTGAACATGTTCACCATGCCAAATTTATTCACCACGCTGAACCGGTTCTCAAGGCCGAATCCAATCAATTTACTGATCCCGTTCATAAGACTGAATCGATTCACCTGCTCGAGACGGATCTTATCACCAAATCGACTCACCACGTCAAATCGATTTACACAGCTGAATTGATTCACTCATCTAGATGATGCTTGGCACTTGCCGTTCTGACGATCCCAGATCTCCAAGACTCCTTCCGTGACCGGTGCTCATCTCATTCCAGATTTAATCTACCATCCGATCTTCATGTTTGATGATTTAGTTCAACAAATCTACCCTTCGGCGCAGATATTAGCTCTACAACCACCTGTTTGTGCATTACTAAATAAGCTTGCTATCCAGGAATATTTTACGATGCTTCACGAAGTCCTGTTACTACAGACTACTCATAACCGCGTTATGGTGTATCGCTGGGTGCAATCATGGCTTTGTTCGTCATCTCCTTCACCCTTTCTTTTACATCATCAGCAAGCGTCTGGGCAGAGGGGTCAAGTTTCTGTGCATGGTACCAGCAGTGATGTCTTGTCATGTAGCTAGCATCCCTTAGCCCGAATTTTATGGGTTGTGACTCGCCCGGTTAACCGAAGACAGGGTTGTCCGGATTTTTGCCACTTTTGCATTGTGGGTAACGTTTGCAAATGGCGGACTACTGTTTGTTTACCGGAGATTTTTGTGACTATGAAGTGCCCTGACAGACTTGTCTTGGTCGCACGAGTCGGATATCAATTCCAGCCTTTAATTGCCAGTAATGAGGAACTGGTAAGGGTGATTGTGTCAGGATTCGTCAGCCAACCGAGAGAGTCTGCTTACCGAGGGTGTCGGACAGAAATGCCCGAGAACCCTTTGACTTTGGCTAGGGTTACTCGGTTTTCTACTTTAGACCAAGCACTAAGTTCAGAGGTCACTGCAGCTCTGTCCGGATGGCCCCAATGTGGTGATCTACTACCTACTCCATTAGTACTGTCATGGTAGCTCGACTATTTGAACGTTCCTATCTCAGGAGATATCCCTTTGTCATTGGCAAGAGTTAATAATAATAATAATAATAATAATAATGCACATTTATAATGCGCCTTTTCCACGCCCTTAGGTATGCTCAAAGCGCTACAAAGATGAAGATGGGTGAAGTGATGAGAAGTATACTGAGAAAAGGTGGGTTTTCAGTTTTGCTTTAAAACTATCAAAACTGTCAGAGTCTTTGATGTCATATGGAAGAACATTCCAGAGGGCCGGTGCTGTGTAGGAGAAGCTGCGGTGTCCGAAAGATTTCAGTTTGTAGGAGGGTATCACAAGAAGATTCTGAGAGTTGGAACGGAGACTGCGGGCAGGTACATATGGGTGAAGCAGGTCAGAGAGGTAGGAAGGGGCCAAGCCATGGAGACATTTGTACGTCAGGGAGAGAATTTTGAGTTGCTAAGCCTCCTCACCTCAGCTCAAGCCTTCACTTACAAAGGACAACTTCGGGCCAACAACCTGAAAGCACTAATCCACCTCCTCACTTCTGGATGGTGTTGATCAACCTACTGCGGACCATTATGAAGAAGGGAGACTTCCTCATCAGCCTCGATCTTCAGGACGCCTACCTTCACGTCCCGATACATCCAGAGCACCAGAAGTACCTTCGCTTCATGTTCAATGGGAACCATGAATTCTTAAGTCGGGAGTTAATACTGACTCAGAAGCTTCAATTTATCAGGGCGGTCTTCAACACCCGCCAGGGGATGCTTTTTGTGCCCAAGGACAGGTGGGTGAAAATCCAGCGTTGTGTCTCACCAGCATTGTTTCTGGCAAGGACTCTTCACCAATGACTTTCGCAGGGCTACTCCCGTAGAGTAGCTACAGTTATTATGGCTGGGCATCGGACGTCCACTCACTCATTATACGCCGATAAGTGGAAGAGATTTGAAGCTTATTGCAAGGCTAGAGGAATTCAGTCTCCTACTTCCTCCGCTGCTCAGGTTTGAGCGGAAGAAACATGGCAAAGTCTTCCTGGGTCTCCGCTGGGACTTCATCGCAAAGAATCAGTTCACGGGACATCTGGATAGAATGTTTACTATTCCACTACGCATTTTCCTCACCGCCTCTCAGGATTGGCGACGTTTGCGGAAGCGTGTTTTCATACCCTTATCGACCGTCTAGAGCTGAGGTGTCTCGAACTACCTTGTCATTCTGGATGCGTTCCACCATACTACGAGCATACACCTTTGCAGGTTTACCTCCTCCAGCCACATCCAATCCTCTCAAGACTCGTGCTTTAGCCTTGACAATGGCGTTGCATAGCAACTGTTCCCAGACATCTATCATGGAGGGTTGTGTCTGGCACTCTGACAGTGTTTTCTCACGTGGTGGCACGTGGTCCTGTGCATAGCGCTCAGGTCACAAATCAGTTGAAGTTAAGCAATGTTGGGCTCGGACAGCCCTTCGATGGGTGACCGTGTTGGCAGCTTAACTCCTGAGAGTTTCTAGGACTTCAGTCCTGCCCCACAACGAAGCACATGTGATACATATGGTCTCACCTTAGGCAAGTGAGTTTGTTCACAATTGCCTCTGTTCACCCAGCAGGAAATGGGTACCCGGTGAAATAAGTCATGAGACTATTAACCTTCTAGCACCTAACAGGCAGCTTGGGTTATCCGGGGTAATAATGATCAGATTGTGAGCTTTGAGCAGGATATCTAGCCTGGAAAAGGCGCGTTATATATATTCTCATTATTATCTCATTATCTCACCTATCTGTGACAGATGTCCAAGGATTACATCAGGTTAGACCACTCGTGTTGGCTCAGCAGCTCACTTTGGCCCATCAGCGCAGATGAAGGAAAGTTCGGTACCTATTCCTGTATTTAGTGAATAATAGTCTGAACTTCATGTTTATCTTTTGTTCTCATTGATTATGGGTTTATATAACTACTTCTCTTAGTTTGATACTAAGGCATCTAGATACCGCTGCCAAGTTTTACTCACGTCAGTGAAATGAGTCTCTCCCGAATTCCAGTGGATTTCATTGCATTCTGACTCCTAAGTTACCAGGCTCATCCTTTGATTAAGCTTATGTAAAGGAGCGAGGGTGAATTTGATGTTGCTTTGGAACTGAAAGTTGTGAGTTTCAGATTCAACTTTTCTTTCACCCTCTATGTGATGGTGTCTGGGGGGTTGTCTCAAAGCAGGGGCTGGTTCGATTATCAGTTGAAAAACTGTAATTACGGAAGTACCTTGGAAATCGTGGCAACACGAGGCTTACTTGCTAAGCTACGTCCTTTTGTCTTAACAAAGGTTACGGCCAAACACCACATCGCTCTGGATCACCTATCTAATTGGGAGTCATTGTGCCCAGTAAGCCAAGGGTTTCAGCAAACCCGTCACAAGCAGAGGAGTTGTGTGCATGCATAACAGGCCTCCCTTGTGAATCGCTATCTACGGTTGTTCAGGATTATACAGCTTAGCTGTCCTTTCTGTAGAGACTTAAGGTAATCTGCGACCTGCCGTCCAACCGTGGGATAAGTGCAAGCCGTGAGATAAGATAAATTTAAAAATTTGGAAATTTGAACTATAAATTGTATGTTTATATACTTATCTTATCTCACACGATGGACACCCGCCCAACCTCCCCACTACTCAGATTACTGTGACGGCTCCAAGAATGGGAATGATGAGGGAACAGTGGTCACGTGGGTTGCTGGGGAGCGTGCTGCATGCCTTGTATGGAATGTGGCAAGTTGTCAATAAGCGAGCGTAGTATGGAATACGCGGGTGATGGAACAGTGGGTAGCTGGGGAGCGTGCTGCATGCCTTGTATGGATTGTGGCAAGTTGTCAGAATGTGGGAATCAACAGTGGGTAGCAATTAGCTGCATGCCTTGTATGGAATGTGGCAAGTTGTCAATTAGCGAATACACGGGTGATGAAACAAGAGAGGCCAAGGGTAAAAGTTTACAGTCGTTCCACTCAGTGCTGAAGCAAGAGAGAGAGGTGCAAGCCATGAGATAAGATAAGTATATAAATATACAATTTATAGTAGAAAATTCCAATATTGTGACCCATTTGCCAAGTCTCATGTAGCATGGTACCTGTTGTATCAAGGTCCACATGTACCATCAAACATTCTATATAAAGCCTTGCATGTATCATGGTACCTGTTTTTGTTGATACCCATGTCTTCATGATGCATGTGATATCAAGATACATGTTATATCAAGATACATGTTATATCAAGATGCATGTGACATCAAGATGCATGTGATATCAAGATGCATGTTATATCAAGATGCATGTGGCATCAAGATGCATGTGATATCAAGGTACATGTGATATCAAGATACATGTGATATCTAGATGCATGTGATATCATGATACATGTGATATCTAGATGCATGTGATATCATGATACATGTGATATCAAGATATATGTGATATCAAGATACATGTTACATCAAGATACATGTGATATCTAGATGCATGTTATATCAAGATACATGTGATATCAAGATACATGTGATATCAAGATACATGTTATATCAAGATGCATGTGACATCAAGATGCATGTGACATCAAGATACATGTGATATCAAGATGCATGTGATATCAAGATGCATGTGATATCAAGATACATGTGATATCAAGATGCATGTTATATCAAGATACATGTGATATCAAGATACATGTGATATCAATATACAGTCAAATCCGGATGAGTTGAATGCCGGTGTCTCGAATATTATGCAGAACTCGAAGTACCTGTCGGTCCCGACCATTCCCTGTTATAGTTGTCATCATTTGAATACCGGTTACACGAATTTGTCTCATAAATACACACGATGACTCAAGAAGGAAATTTGGTCCCATGAGATTCAAACAACAGCAATCTTGTATACATAAGCCGAAGTCAGTCAATGAGAAGTTGATTGGTGTAGCAAACTGATCCAATTAACAAACTAGCGCGGCTCACACCTTTCCGCCATTGACGGGTGAGTTCAAAAGGCAGATTAGTGATTTTACGGAAATCACTGTCTGTGCTAATCAGACTGGAACTGATAAGGTGCCCCTATAGGGAAATCATTAGGTAAACAAATGCTTAGGTGGAGGAATTAGGACTGGATCATCTTTTTTCTATCCTCATAGACATACCTATGTCTCGAATACATCGATAAGTCGAATTTATTACTTGGTCCCCAGCCATTCGACTCATCGGGATTTGACTGTACATGTGTAATCAAGATACATTTTTTAAAGAGTCTCATGTATTATGACTGCCCATTATCATGGAGACATGTACAAATTTGTCTTTTTCATTTTCACTTCAATTTGTTCTATTTATTGGGCTCTAATCTTTAAATCTATTGTGTTGTTGATTTTACTTCAGTATGATAGAAACTTTTACTTTGTCTGTTCAAGGATATCTTTCATTGATCTGGCTGGGAGTGAGCTCGCTGCCGACGTGACAGACACAGACAGACAGACACGTCTGGAGGGAGCTGAGATTAACCAGAGTCTGCTGGCTGTAAGTGAACAGGTGTCTGTGGTGACAGAAACCTATCTGGCCAGAAGGTGTTGTATCATGTAATCTATTGGTCACATCCTGGCCAGAAAGTGTTGTATCATGTAAGCTGTTGGTCACATCCTGGCCAGAAAGTGTTGTATCATGTAAGCTGTTGGTCACACCCTTGCCAGAAAGTGTTGTATCATGTAAGCTGTTGGTCACATCCTGGCCAGAAAGTGTTGTATCATGTAAGCTGTTGGTCACATCCTGGCCAGAAAGTGTTGTATCATGTAAGCTGTTGGTCACATCCTGGCCAGAAAGTGTTGTATCATGTAAGCTGTTGGTCACATCCTGGCCAGAAAGTGTTGTATCATGTAAGCTGTTGGTCACATCCTGGCCAGAAAGTGTTGTATCATGTAAGCTGTTGGTCACACCCTTGCCAGAAAGTGTTGTATCATGTAAGCTGTTGGTCACATCCTGGCCAGAAAGTGTTGTATCATGTAAGCTGTTGGTCACATCCTGGCCAGAAAGTGTTGTATCATGTAAGCTGTTGGTCACGTCCTGGCCAGAAAGTGTTGTATCATGTAAGCTGTTGGTCACATCCTGGCCAGAAAGTGTTGTATCATGTAAGCTGTTGGTCACATCCTGGCCAGAAAGTGTTGTATCATGTAAGCTGTTGGTCACACCCTTGCCAGAAAGTGTTGTATCATGTAAGCTGTTGGTCACATCCTGGCCAGAAAGTGTTGTATCATGTAAGCTGTTGGTCACATCCTGGCCAGAAAGTGTTGTATCATGCAAACATTTTGTGTCTGTGTAGAACCTCAAAGGCACATGTTGTGACATATAGAAACAAAGAGAACGGCTCAGCTGCGTATGGATTTATAATTTGTGGAAAGAACAAGGTACAGTGAGGGGGACAGTCCCTTTCATGCATTGAAAGCGAGGTGCAACCTAGGTGAGGGGGTATGCTGAAAGGTACCTAGGTGCAACCTAGGTGAGGGGGACAGTCCCCTTGTCTTCATGCTGAAAGGTACCTAGGTGCAACCTAGGTGAGGGGGACAGTCCCCTTGTCTTCATGCCGAAAGGTACCTAGGTGCAACCTAGGTGAGGGGGACAGTCCCCTTGTCTTCATACTGAAAGGTACCTAGGTGAGGGGGACAGTCCCCTTGTCTTCATGCTGAAAGGGACCGCCTCCGTGGTGTAGTGGTTAGAGCATCCGCCGAAAGGTAAGGTCCTAGTTGATCCCGAACGTCATACCAAAAGGGTTAAAATATGGTACTTGTTGGTCCCTGCCTGGCGCTCGGCATTAATGGGTACAACAAGGACTGGTCGGCTCGGAGTCAGTATTATGTGTCTGAGTGGGATATTCATGCTTCACTGCGGCATGGTATCTCAGTGGGCAAGCACTATAAAACCAGCTTCAGTCTGGGCTAAAGCACCAGCTGCAACCTGCACGCATGAGGCGACAGTCGATGGCAAATATTCTCAGATGCAACGTGAGGGGACCTCACCTTGTCTGCGTGCTGAAAGGTACCTAGGTGCAACCTAGGTGGGGGGACAGTCCCCTTGTCTTCATGCTGAAAGGTACCTAGGTGCAACCTAGGTGAGGGGACAGTCCCCATGCTGAAAGGTACCTAGGTGCAACCTGCTGAGGGGACAGTCCCTTGTCTTCATGCTGAAAGGTACCTAGATGCAGCAGTCCCCTTGTCTTCATGCTGAGGTGGTGCAACCCTGGGGACAGTCCCCTTGTCTTCATGCTGAAAGGTACCTAGGTGCAACCTAGGTGAGGGGGACAGTCCCCTTGTCTTCATGCTGAAAGGTACCTAGGTGCAACCTAGGTGAGGGGGACAGTCCCCTTGTCTTCATGCTGAAAGGTACCTAGGTGCAACCTAGGTGAGGGGGACAGTCTCCTTGTCTTCATGCTGAAAGGTACCTAGGTGCAACCTAGGTGAGGGGGACAGTCCCCTTGTCTTCATGCTGAAAGGTACCTAGGTGCAACCTGTGAAACCCATTCTGCTGACTCTCCGGTGTCATCTCACTCCAGATTCAGGGCCGTCATCTGTTATGGCATTGTTTGCATTGTGTTACCATCTGATATTATGAATCTCTTTTGCTCAGGGTGACAATGTTGTGTTTGGTGTTTGTGTTCCCATCAAAATGCAGATATTTCACTTCATAACATGATTGACTATGTCTCTCATAATGTGCACCAACATAAACAAGATATTACATTCTAAGATGCTTCGGTGAAAGATCAAAGGCACCGACAGTACTTTATCAGACGATAATGTGCACTTTTTGCATTACGTCACAATGTATTGGTGTCACTGCGCCATTCTAGCCTGCCCCCTCGTAATTGAACAATTTTGCATTATGTCACAATGTAAGCGACATCAAGATGCATGTCAGTTGTCATCGCCTCGTACAGCCTCCTACAGTAAACTACTCCATTGCATCCTGTTTCTTGGTTTGCATTTGCTTCACGCAGCTAACGTCACTGGTGGAAACATTACGTTTATGTTTTCCGATGGTTGAACTGTCTCAATTCGACTCACAAGTTTTAAGCGACACGGTAACATTCGCAATGTTTACCTTCCCACAATGCAATCGTTGAATGTCGCTTGACTACTCAGCTTCATCTGGATGTACTGATCTAAACTTGTGTTGGTAGTAGAAATGTGACTTTCATATTGCCCCATATGGTTTACGTTAATCACAGATGTAATTAAAATATTTTAGAGAAGATATTTATTCCGAACGTAAACCGTCATCAAACTGTTTATCTTTTCTATTTTTCTGGTAACGTTCGTCTTAATGTAGAGGGGCAGACACATCAATAGAAGAGCGCCTGAACTATTATAACGTTAAAGCACTCGGACGCAAGCGTTCTCGTGCTTTAACGATAATAGTTCTTGGCGAAAGTGTGCTTTCTTACACTATACATGGTGGTAGAGGGAACTGTATTTCTTAAACAAAATGTGGAAGTAGAAGAAAAGGCCAGAATATCTAATTATACCGATTTTCTTTCAGTTGAAAGAATGCATAAGGTCAATTGACCAGTCAAGTCGTCATAAACCATTCCGTCAGAGCAAGCTCACCCACATTCTGAAGGACTCGTTCGTTGGGAATTCTCGGACCTGTATGATAGCCAATATCTCGCCCACAATGTCTGCTTGTGAGAATACACTCAACACACTGAGATATGCAGACAGGTAACCCTGGCCTAGTTGAAATAATCATTGTCAGTTAGCTAGTTCAAGAAACGTTTCATTTGTTAATCATAGAGTCATATTTTGGTACATCTGTTACAGAGGGGTATTAGTTATGAATATTCATAATGGCATTTTGTATATACATGTACAACGTTTTGTGAGGGATATTCTTTGTAAATTAACAAATTTCTGCAGTAAGTTAGCAGACCACTTGAGTATCGGGCACAGATTCCTTGTTACTGTGAGTATAGAATCTCCACAGAACTAAGTTAGATTTTGAGAATATAGTCAAAGATACTTCACATATCTCAAAACCAGTTATAAATCCTACAAGAGTAACAACTGACATTGCTGGTGTTCCATCTGCAGTAGATGGTCCAGCCATAGAAAGGAAATCAGTCTTCATCTTTATGGTAATTTTCAGGGTAAAGGAACTGAAGCGTGATGGTTCTCGAGGCACTACCAGCAGTCAGGCAGAGAACTTGCTCATGAACATTCCAATATCAGCGCCATCAGTCTTCCATCCGTCCAATATCCTGTCCTGCTCTACCCCAATGCGACCAGTCACGCGGCACACAGCTCAGCGGCCTCAGGATGAGAATATATTGGATCCAACAGATTCCCCTGTCCGTGGACACTTTCCGCAGAAGAAAAATACCAAATCAAAAACACCCAACATTGCCCAAAGTTCCTCTGTGCCAAAACAGTCTGTGTCTGGAACACATGATGTATCTCCATCAAGGAGGAGAATCTCAAGACCATCCCGAGAACCTTCACCAGCCCGGGATCACATCCTCAGACAGAACATCCCACCTCGTCAATTGGTCCCCGCTCAGCAAACTTCATCTCCGAGTGGGTCAGACAAAACAGACTCGGAATCTTGTAATATAACACTGCCACGGAACAACAATCTGCCCCAGCCAAATATTCCAGTTGCCCAGTCAACAGATACAGAGTTTGACTTCCCAACATCTGATTTTAATGTGCCAGAAGAACTAAATGATCTCAATAAAACTGGAGAGAAAAAATGTGACCCCCCCAAAAGTGCGGGAGATACTGGTCATGGGATGGACAAGACTCAAGGAGTGTCACAGGGACTTCCTAAATCATCAGGTCGAATGCTTCCGGAGACTCCCATGGTAGGTAAAATGCAAAGATCGCAGAGCACTGACTTACCACAGCAACAAGACCGGGTTCCAGACCAAGGTCAGCATTTGATGAGACAAATCCCCAGAAGTAACTCACCTGCGACCAGACGACCTCACTCTGCTGCCGCTGTGGCGGAGGCAAAGGCAGCAGGGGGAGCAATGCTGCCACTCCCTACTCCATCAGTGTCTGCACCAGTGCCATACGCTGCTGTTCCTACTATAACTCCTTTGGTGGAGAGTATTGAAGATGATCAGTTGTTTGACAACCCTTCTGAACGGGCAAGACAGCCTGTAGTTAGATCAGATTCTATAGCAAGTCCTCAGACAAAGAACGGGTTAAGCAGGCTGAATGGTGGCAGTCAGCTGAGTGTGATTCCTGCAGTTTTGCCAGCATCCAGCAGTGACCTCAGCTTCACCCAGAGGGCCCCAGTGCGACCTCCAGCAGACATGCAGGGCATCCTTCTGACCCCCCGGGCTGTTGACATCGTCCCAAGTCAGCAGCCACATGAACCACACCTCGTTGTGTCAGATGTCAGTGACATTCCTGAACCTCATCCTGTCCCTCCACCTCCCAGCATTCCTTATCACAGAGATGGAAGTCCAAAACATGATTCACTCAAATCTGATCTTCCACTTCGTTCCTCCCTTGCCAGGGAGCGACGGACAAGGCATGCCTCCCATTCCTCCCAGTCCAGTGACGACTCATCCATGGAAGGAGCAAGGACGTCCCAGTCTGACTCTGCTCAAGGTCCTTACAAGGTCAGGTCAAGGAGCAAAAGTAAAATGACTGATCTGAGAAAAGAAAAGAGTGACCCGATGATAGCTCTTCACATGCAGACAAAGAAACAAACGCTACCCAACCCTGATGACTTCCACAAGTATCTATCCAGGGGAAACACCCCCAAGGCCGGGCAGACCGGCTTCTAGTCCGATGTCAGTTCCACTTTCAAAACTCTCCTCTCCTGAAGCAGTTCCAAGTCAGCCAGTGATGAACATCCTCAGTGAGTCTGAGCAGACGGAGGTAAAGTCAGGACGAAGTAGTCCAGCAGCCAGGTTGATGAGCCAGGATTTACGTAGATCACCAGTCACCTTTGACAAACATGCTGCTGGTGATGGTAAATCAAGTGTAAAGTCAAAGAGTAGGATGTCTGTGGCCGATGTGTTGAAGACAACCAGTAGAGGGGAAAGAGCAAAGTCACCAAAAGATTCAACAGCGACACATGGTGTCAGTTCAGGTAACCAGAAACAGAGGTCATCACATGCTGTACAGAATGAAAATAGCTCACAGACTGAACACACTGATAACCGACAGCCTCGCTCCAGACAGGACAACATCTCCATGTCCTCCAAGAGTGATTCATCCCAGCAAAGTTCCTTCAACTCAGAGCTCCTCGGCAAGAACATCCAGACTACAACAGGGAGCTTTGTTGTGAGGAACAGTAATTCCCCGACCGGAGCAAAATCATCCAGTTCTGTTATTGTAACAGAGAAATTGACAGTGGGAGCAGTCTTCTCCCCTATCCATCCTCAGCCTATCACCAGTCATGCAGTTATCAAAACCATTTCCCCGACCAGCCCGGCTGCAGAGGTGGTTCAACCCAAACCTGTCACTCCCATGTTGGCGCCACCAGTTTCAGCTTCAGTAGCAGGATCTGTGACGGGGTCTGTTGCCATGGAGAGACAGAGCATTGTGTGTCAGGGAATACCACTGGATGACAAAAATGATCCAAGGTAAGCCGCTGACTTTATCATGGGATTATCTGGTACTCCAACTGCTCCACAGTCTTCTCACATAAGTGTAAGCTTTTGCAATTAGTCACAAGCATGGCAATTGAATTATTTCCTTCCTTTTCTCTCTTCGATGAATATCCTATTTTGATGTCTTCCAGAAAGGCAGCTCTTTCATGCATTACTAATGAAAATACCCTTTTTAAATATGCAAATTGATTTAGAAATAATGCCAGTCCAGGGCTACAATGTAACCCAAAATATTTACCGGCCCCAAGCGTTATAACGTACAAGGACACCCCTTGTAGTCTGAGACTCCTCTAACCCACTCTTCTAATTTTAGACTCACACTATAGTACATGTCTGCAATCTTTGAATGTGTCCTTAGATACAATGCGTCATCAGGATTATAGTCAATTTTCTTATTTGATTCCAGTTAATGCTCTTCTCTAGACAACTGCCCATCAGTTGACTGATTCTGCATTCTTCTTATTACAATGTTTGTGTGTAACACTAGGTGTGATCTGTCTGTGGTGTGTCTGTGATGTTATGTGTAATTTACGTGTGTGCCTACCTGGGATTTATCTGAAACATCCATTCCATCTTTGCAGGAGCCGCCTCATCATGTCCCATGAAGACCAGCTGGCTTCAGTTACCTCCCTTTGTAAGCAGGAGATGAAACTACTCCTGAGTGCCAAGTCTGGACATCGGGTAAATACCATTAACAATGAACATGTATAATCACCTTTACACCATGTAGGTAGATTTACTTAGACCGGTACCGCTAAAACGTATTTTCTGCGCATGATCGGAAGAAAGCTTAAGGTTAGGGTTAGGGTAAGCAGAGTTAGGGATAGATTACTATATACAACAACCAGAAGTATACTATGTTTGACTTTATTTGAGACCGATGACTTGCTCACTAACACAAAATCTAATAATTGCAACAAAACCAAAATTTGCACAGTCACATGAAATTGACAGACCAACTCCGATGATATGTTTCATAATTTTGGACACCCGAATAAAAAAGTTGTTTAACAAACGATCATTATTTTGTTGTCACTTACCGCTATTTCTTACGATGGGGGACCACTTGCTGGTAGAACATCCAGGTGTTCGAATTGTACATGTGAAATTGAAATTTCACTGCACACGCTTGTTGATTACTGTGGGCGCTGCAGTCGTCCGAGAATGAAGTCAAACGGACTATAGCTAAAACAATGGTACCGGTATAAGTAAAGTGGTCCCTCCATGTCTCCATGAATGATTGGGCGCAACATGTCAAAGAGCAGGGAACTGAGGGATGTTACAGTGTGTGAATGAATGAACTGAGGGATGTGTTGATGTGGTACCTGCTGCTGTAATATAGCTGGACTATTTCATGGTCACCATTATGGACAAGAAGTCAGTCACTGTACATGTTTTACTTGCACTGCTTCTCTATGTGACTAAAGCGAGAGGCTACTTTTATTGAAGTACCTGTGACAGGTTGTCCGCTGATGCCAGGTTTACTCCAGATGAGGCCAGGTTCACTGTCACATCAAATGTTGTTTCAGAGTTTTGAAGACTATCTGAGGAAGCTGGGAGATATTCTGAGTCACAAGATGTCCGTGATGCAGCAGCTACAGACCCAGATCTCGGACTACTGCAGCGCCCACGGCATTCAGCGGAGATCTGTCAGTCAGTCCTCCACATCCACCATCAGGTCACACCAGCAGCTGTAGCCAGCCACCTGCTACATCCCCCATAGTACTACAGCTTACACGGAGGGCTGACATTGTGGCCTCTGGACCTGACATGGCCATGTGTCAGCTAAAGAATAAGAATTCCCACTATGAGGACCATCACCTCAGTGATTGGTCAGTGTCAACCTAATGTCAACATTGGTGGTCAGATTAAAGCGGCCATCATGACAGGTACCGTATATTACCGTCTATAAGCTGACCCCATAGATAAGCAGACCCCCAAACTTGACCCTTAAAATCAGTGTCAAAATGGTATGTCTCGTACATAAGCCGATCCCCGCGATGGGGTCCTAATCCTGGCAAACACAGACCACAGACAACTGGCAGTTACCAATAATGATAACTTTGGTCCACATTATTCAAAGAATCCACAATCATATTGCGTCTACTCACGCATCGAAATGAAGTGTAGTTGACAGAAAATGGATAATATATTTTGTTTCCCTAAATATCATACTTATTGTAGCTGGACGATCACATGTCAACAAACTGGCTTGCCTATTGTACCCCATTCCACGTTTTTCGCTCCAACAGGATAGCTAATTTCACATCATATTATCAACAATCAAGAACTAATTACCGTTTACAGTAACATTGGTAAAAATGTATGAATTCAAATGGCTTGCTTATTTTACCCCATTCCATGTGCGTACAACTTCCGCTTACCACGTTTATGAGGGTCCGTATAACCTTAGTGTTGATTATATATATTTTACAGTTATAGAACAAAAACTGTAATTAAAATTACACAATGCTAGGATATCAGGGCTCGATTTAGTGCTTTGTTACTTGCACTGATGCTAGCCAATATTACAAAGTGCAACCTAGTTATTAGTCTAACTTGCACCAGGTGCAGGTCAATTTGTGAGTGGATAAACTTCTGAATAAAACATCTAAATAATTCAATAGCATATTCCATTCATTACATATTACCATAAAAGCAGTGCAACTGGAATTTGGCTGGTGCAACTAGGTTTTTATCTCAGGTTGTACCTGGTGCAAGTAGGTTAACATCTCTTAAATCGAGCCCTGGATATATTTCTTTGGGTTTAATAATAGTGTTCTGTATTATATTTTACTGATGACTGCGTCAGAATTCATCCCGTTATATTATTGTGCATATTTGAACTTGATCGCCGGGAAACGTGTGCACAGCTGATTGCTATTTTCGGCCCAAATACACACGGTAATCTTAATCCCGGCAAATAATACAGTGCCCAACAAAAACAACTTAGAACTTAAAAGGTAAATAATCTTGTCTTGTGATGTTTAATTGCAAATTTGACGTCTTTACTGACAAAGTCGTCTTCTGTTGTTTGTTCACGCGAAGTGATACGTTGTTGTTTTCTTACCCCTGGAAAAAAGTTTGACGAAAGCGTAACCCATAGATAAGCCGACCCCCTTCAACAGATTGCTTTTTTTTATCCTCAAAATTCGGCTAATAGACGGTAATATGACGGTATTTGAAATCTGTGATGATTCCCTGTATATAGTCAGTGATGTACACTCCATAGTGCTGGACTCCTTCACCTCAGTAGTATTCTCTCCATCACTATCCCTGCCGTCACTCCCAGGACAGTGAGGGGCCTTCCCACACAACCCACAACCCTTCCTGGTGACCTGGGCTTGTATGGAGTACAACATTCAGGCAGAAGTATTACAATGTCATTGAAGTCCGATGTTACAGTGTGACATCATATCTCTTTGGGTTTAGAAACGACAGGATATGTTTAATATCCACAAGGATAGTCTGTAAATCGGGAAAAAGTTTGTGAGCATGAACTTACTACAAAAGATGCAAAAAAAATAAGTTTAGTGATTTTGATTCTCTTTGGTCAGTCCAACCACAAACAAAAACTGCATGTAGGAATATTTCTGTGTTTCACTTCCACATATTGTCAAACTTGACAGTTGCAAGATTAGATTAATAGTCTCGCATGCTGTTTCCTTTATCAACGTTGTCACTCTGTGTCATAGTCTAAACGGCAAATTACACTATCTTGCCACATTTCTTTAAGGTGTTAACATACCACTGAGTCGTCCAAACCTGTCACTATACTCCAGCCTTCCTTGTCTACTACAACTTGCAACTCTGTAGTTTCAGATTCACAGACTCTGGGTAACCAGTATGCTGCTTCCTACTCGTGAAAAACAACATGCCAAAAAGTAGCTTTGATCTTTTGATCACAAACTTTCTAGTTAAGGATATTGTCAGTTGCTCACAATAATCCTATGGGACAAAGGTTTACAGAAAGGTACAGCGTTAATAATATATTTTCAGATTCGGAAACCTGAGAAGACTTCTCTTAGGTGATTAGAAAGTTAGAAAGTCACATGAGAGATGTGTTTCAGTAAAGCGGATCTTTACACTCTCAGAGAGATAGGGTATCAGAGTGAAAATATGATCAGATCATATCTGATCATTGAGTCTGAATCCCAGATACACACCAATTCCTGGTCTCAGTAGCAGACTTGCAGGTGAGGAAGTCAGTTTTGTTTTAAGGAAGCCAAGGATTCCCACAAAATATGAAACATTTTAATATATTCTTACTTTGTCAAGCATCCTTTACAACTGTAACAAAATCATAGGATCCTGGCTTGTCAGCATGTGTGAATTCCAGATACACATACACACTGATTCCTGGCTTGTCAGCATGTGTATAGGTTTTACAGACTTACAGCTCAAGGCCTGCCTTCTGTAACAGATACACACTGATTCCTGGTTTGTCAGCATGTGTATAGGTTTTACAGACTTACAGCGCTCAAGGCCTGCCTTCTGTAACAGATACACACTGATTCCTGGTTTGTCAGCATGTGTATAGGTTTTACAGACTTACAGCGCTCAAGGCCTGCCTTCTGTAACAGATACACACTGATTCCTGGTTTGTCAGCATGTGTATAGGTTTTACAGACTTACAGCTCAAGGCCTGCCTTCTGTAACAGATACACACTAATTCCTGGCTTGTCAGCATGTGTATAGGTTTTACAGACTTGACAGCGCTCAAGGCCTGCCTTCTGTAACAGATACACACTGATTCCTGGCTTGTCAGCATGTGTATAGGTTTTACAGACTTGCATCAGCATGTGTATAGGACTTGCACGCTCAAGGCCTGCCTTCTGTAACAGACAGACTTGCACCGCTCAAGGCCTGCCTTCTGTAACAGATACACACTGACTCCTGGCTTGTCAGCATGTGTACAGGTTTTACAGACTTACAGCGCTCAAGGCCTGCCTTCTGTAACAGATACACACTCACTTAACGTGGACCCTCCGCCCAGCTTTCTCAAGGTCCTCATCCCTTGACATCAACAACATCCATTACATGTATCATGACACATCCCCACCATCCACTCCATTGTGATCTAGTGTAACCATGGCAACAGAGTTGCTTGACACCCTCCAGTATTTGAGATCTGTAGTTAACTTTCATGCTGTTTACAAGTGCTTTCATGTGATCACATTCCGTCACCTTGTGACATGTTCATTTGTCAGGGAATGTTATCAGGTCAGTTGTTACTTTGTAATTTTACATAAAGTTTTGATATTTATATGATTCCTTGAGGTTCCCCTTGGTTATGTCGATATATGTTGGTGTCCACAGACTTTCTACACTTGTTATCATGTTTATATGTCACCATGATTCCTTCCACCTCAGCTGTTTGTAGACAGTGTGTCAGTGTTGTAGACAGTCTCCACCTCAGCTGTTTGTAGACAGTGTGTCAGTGTTGTAGACAGTCTCCACCTCAGCTGTTTGTAGACAGTGTGTCAGTGTTGTATAGTCTGCTCATATGCAGTGAAACACAATGTGGCAGGAAGACAGAGTCCTCGAGCATCCCTCTCTAAATACCTGGCTTACGCTGGTACATGTTGATGCTCATCTTCAAATCCCAGTTTGCTCAGAGTAATGCCAGTCACTGGCTTGTCTGGTCCAGATTTGTTTACTTCATGACATCTGTCATGTAGCTGAGTGTGGCATTAAATACAGATGATATCATTTGACTGCGATAATCAACAAACATGAAGGCTGTTTGTGTGGAGACATAGACAAAAAGTCATTCCATGGCTGTCAGTTAGATGTGTGTGATGATACAGTATCTTTTGTTTCATTGTTTTGTGAACACTCATCACAGCTCAGGTACCTGAAGCCAGATGCAGATGAGGAAGGATTCCCCATACAACCATGTTTTTACAATGCTTATCTGTTACTGTTCCCTGTGATACTGTCATCATAGCATCCATCCATCCATCCATCCATCCATCCATCCATCCATAATCTTCTGAAATCCACTAGTGGGACACATTTTGACATAGATGTTGATGGTCAGTATTGACATGATTTACTGACTGTATGTAGAGAACTCTGTGACACATGGCAGCTTGCAAACTGTGATATTTCACCCCTACCAGTCCCTCCTGAAGTTGTTGATGCCAGTCATTGGTTTGACTTGTGTATTTTGTTTTGTTCTATTAGTGACAGGTACATGTTTTATCCCATTATGTTTTACCATGTTAACTTATTGACATAATGTCAATGTCCCTTTGTTAGGATTATTTTAGAGTGTACTGCAACATGGAAATATTGATTTCAGCACATTTCTTAATATTGCTATATTTGGATCAAAGATGTTTTAAATATACAGCTAAGGCAGTAATTTTACTGTTTATTGAGCACAACATACTCTTGACAGGACTGCACTGCATTTATTTTCTGACACAAATAATAATAAGTGAAGAGTGGAAATCTTTGCTCCTGAGTTAGTGACGTGTAGTGCTCCTTCAAGACTGTCCCAAACTTTTGTCAGGTGTTCATTTGTCTATGGGACTGTATGCTATGTCACAATTCTACCTATGATTCTATCTCCTATCACAGTTCTACCTGTAGCTCTATCCCACGTGACTGTTTTACCTGGGACTCCTCGTAGTCTTATCACAATGTCAGATGGTTTTTCAAACAAATGCCTGGAAATGATCAAGACAACTATCTGTGGTTTGGAGGAACTCCTGACCTCAGCCCTTAATGGTTGTCCATTCAGATGAGCAAGAGTTCCACCAGAACCAGGAGAGTTATTCAACAATGCATTTAGTGAGCCTTGCTGATGTAGAAGTTATTGTCAGGACAACGCCTTCATGAAGTTCATGACTGTGCAACATTTTCAAACATTCCATCCATATTTATTTCATTTACAGTAGTTTTAATGTCTTTGCATGTGATATTATAATCAAATGAATAAATTATTTTCTATAGAAGCCTTTGATGTTATGTCTAATGTCACTGATGTCATGAATGAAACAAG